ATGTATCGCCTTCGAAGCTGTAAATCGATATCAAGTATCTACGTTAGACAAGCTATATGTAATGAGATGTTTGCTGTGGCTGTGGAAACCGATTCTCGAATTCCTTACCATTTACGAGATGAGCTTTAGTATTCTGTGCTGTCGCGTTTGAATAATGCTATCTGCATATAGGTGGTATCTTAATCTGAAACGTATACCTTGTGGTGATGCTTAGAATAGTGTTTACACCGGTTGATAGGGTCAAAATAAATATCTGTTTTGTGAGAAAAAGCAGTTTCTGCAATAACCGTATCTGACTGTGAATGAGGACAAAAACGCAGTGAACAGATTGTTCCTACTTTCGTAGTTAAAATACACTACAATGATATCATTTTTGATTTGTTAAATTCACATTTTTTTTCTTTTCTAGGTAAGGGAATGCGTTCCACAAGAATTAATGACATTGGCGTGCTACTAAGTAAGTATCACACTAGATCGTTTATCCACCTAGTCTATTAATAGCTGACTTGGAATAGGAAGTTACAGTCTGAAAAGTTGTTCCTGAAAAATTATAATGACATTTACGATACTGTTTTTTCACGTTACCTAACCACGCCACTGTGGTAACGTAGTGCCATTCCTGCAAAGTCTAGTCAAAGAAAATGGAGAAATATTCCGGTCCCGAGAGGAGGTATCGAGGTGAAGAATTTCAGGAAAAATTGCTGCCGCGATTATAATCCCCCGGGTCTGATTGTATAAAGGAATTTTTTCTGATCGATCCTTGGTATAATCAAGAATATTTGAATAAGGCCTTTTAGCATCGTGAAGCTGGAGAAATGGTCTTACGAACTTTATCGATTTCAAAAAAAATGCGATTCCAAAGATCAAATCGGTCGAATAGTCGTAGAAGTGAGTTGCCTGAGCTGACTGCTGTATATTTGTCCTTTGCTCATGCCTGACATTTAAAAATATGTTGTTTTGGATGGAAAAGGAGCTCCTTTCACTTCTTTCTGCTCTCAGTTGCACATTCACAATTGACAATTCATATTAGACGAAAATACCCCCTGGTTTGCGAAATAATTGTAATGTCTGGTTTTATTGCTACAAGTTATCCAAGGAGGTATTCAAAATATGGACGCATAAAATGGGTACACCAATTTTTGTGGGAAAACTTTTTATTGGACAACAAAGAATGAGAAAACGTGTTTTTCTGTATTTATGAGACCTACAAAATGAGAACACACGTAAAAAGAGCCGACTAATAGCAAAAAAGATATGGCCGAAAATCGAGGAAAACTGCAGGTTTTAACGCTCGCTGGTAATGCGACGATGGTTTCTCGCAGATATTTGAACTTCTTCAAATTTGTAGGATTCATACTTCTAAATAACCACAACAAAATTGGAGTAGATTGGTCAAGTAGTTTTTGAGAATTTCTAATTGTTTATCCCAAAACACCTGTTTTCCGGCCATCACTACAAGTTTATTGAGCAATCTACAGGGTTAGTTTACCTTGCCGAAAGAAATCGCAAACCATTCCGGAAGATAAATGTTATTTTTATGCAAAAAAAGGATGGGTTATCTAAACAAATTCAAACATTTCGTATTTGTGAGTAATTCACAACAAAAGATCCTAGACACACCCGATTTGTTTTATAATGTGTATAGTAACGTATGATTTTCGAATATCGTAGCGCATTTGTTCAATTACTCACAAATACGAAATATTTGAATTTGTTTCGAAGAAAAAAAGTAACCTTTGTTATTCGCATAGAAATAAGATTTATCTTTCGGAATGGTTGGGATTCATATCGGCAAGCTAAACATGTGTATGTTGCTATTAGGTGCTCTTTGAACGAACCCTGTATATTACTCAATAAACTAGTAGTGATGGCCGGAAGACAGGTGCTTTAGGATAAACAATTAGAAATTCTCAAAAAACTACTTGACCAATATAATCAAATTTTGTTGTAGTTATTAAGAAGTATGAATCCTACAGATTTGAAGAATTTCAAGTAGTTGCGTGAAATTATCGTCGCATTACCAACAAGTGCCAAAACGCACATTTTGCCTCGTTTTTCGGCGATAACATTTTTGCTATTAGTCGGATCTTTTAACGTGCCATCTCATTTTGTAGGTCTCGTAAATACCTGAAAATCTTATATGAAATAAAAAGTTTTCCCACAAAAATTGGTGTACCAATTTTATGCTTCCATGATTTAAATACCCCTTTGAGCAACTTGCACCAATAACACCAGACTGTACAATTCTTTTGGGGAAATTTTCTAATATGATTAGACGAATTATATTTTGACTTACGTCATTATAGTCTTATTTTAATTCTCAAGGCATTGGCAAATATGAACATCACCACTTAACGGGGTTAGAAACTTCTTCATCCGATCATTATAGCTCATGTGTTAGTGAGGTAAGCTTTACTGATGTTTCGGTTACTTCGACAGGCTGTCGCATATAACAGTGAGTCGGTATCATTATAAAATAGTTGTCTTAAAAATGCAATACTAATTCTCAAGGGATAGTATGTATGACCACGATAGACTACTACAATCTTGAAAATGCTTTTTGAAGCAGACTCATTAACTTACTTCTTAAAATTTTTAGATGTTTGTGATATTTTAGGGGTCATCTTCACTTATCAGATATATACGTTACGAGAATTTTATTCTTCAAAAACTGGGCTAACAGTAAGTGGATACAAATTAATAAACTTTACGTAGAGGTATTGAAAGATAATATGCCCATAATAATGTATCAAAACTACTATACATGACTATCAGAGACCGAAATCTGATGTGCAATGAACATAAAATGTCGTGCTCTTTATTTGCAGGAGCCAGAAAAATACGAAGTTTTTTCTGATTTATTTGGGTCTAAATGTGAGGACATTAAAGGCAGTTTTGGCTGTACGCTTCGCCGACATTCGTTATAGCTAGCTAGTGAAAATAGAACAAAAATCTCTACGTTTCAACAGTGTTTTCTCTACTGTAGTAATCGCTTCATTCTTAGGATCTGCTAATAAAAGTTATTTTTCTGTAAGCCGTGAAGTCAAAAGTAGATACGGTCTTGTTTTAGTAGAAAATGTGAAATACTCTAAAGATTAGTTTGCTTTTTGTTGTGTAACATATCGTATACAGTGCCGTTTCAACCTTACTGTAAACCGTTAGCACGATACATGTCGTGACAGACAAAAGCAGGGAGTTTTGATTCTGATCAAGGATATGGTGTTAATAAATAGGTAACAAACAATGCTATCTGCAATTTCTTCCCCGATACCGACAGCATTTCTCGTTTTATCCCTGATCGAACGTACGCTATTACCACAACTTCTGGAAACCGAATCATAGGTGTTAGCAATATTTTCACTTGAAGATCCGAGAAAAGTGGTGGAGTATTCTCTAAAAGCCTCCCCATCAACTATGGGTAACATGTCAACGTGATGCTAGTTTATTTTATCGAAAATATTATGCAGACAGTAAAAAATGTCAGCAGTATTGCGTTAGGGATAGTCCGTCCGTGCCGTTGTAACTAAGGCATTTGTTATAGTTGTTGTCCAAAAGTCGCTTAAGTAAAACATATTTTCAGTAGCGTACGTGTATCTTCGTAGGGGATCCCTTTAAGACATTTTTTTATTGAAACTGGTGGCATTATTAATTTATGTTCTGGTATGGTGTGGTCTGTATACGAGCGATTGACATTTCATTCTGGCACATTTATGTGTTCTTCTGAGACACCCTGTATAAAACTAGTGAAAAAGTCCCATCCAGGCATACAATGACGTTCGATATTCTCCCTAAAACACATAATACTGTTACTTGATTGACCCGTATTTTGGCAGCAAGCTCCCACTGTCACAGTTTGTCTATAGAGTCACTTTGAAAGCTTTGGATGACAGCTCGACAATACGTCATATTCTTGCTCGTGAAAGTTTTCAAGTTTTTCAATAGAAAATCCGATTTAAAAACATAGAGATGGACTCTGGAGGTCAAAGTAATGATCCCCAGCGTCCCCGATGATGAATGGACCCAGCCAGAAGGAGAGAACAGAAATTACCAAGGAATCAAAGGAATTGACACCAGCTGTAGCAGACGAAAAGGACGGAACCATCCAGCGCCAGACCCTGATCATCGAAAGCCAGGCCCAGCAAATAAAGGAGCTGACTGAGACCATGAAATCAAAGGAATTAATGACACCAGCTGTAGCAGATGAAAAGGACAGAACCATCCAGCCCCAGACCTTGATCATCGAAAGCCAGGCCCAGCAAATAAAGGAGCTGACTGAGACAGTTAGGGACCAAAACAGTAAAATAGACTGCCTGACCACCCAGGTAACACAGTTAATCAATAATGCAAATTTTAATTCTAAATCTGACAAGGCTGTCAATTTAAAAAGACCTCTTGAAAATTTAACTGACGTGACATCGTCCGACGATGAAATACAGAATGACGGATTCATCCAGGCCAAGTCTAGGAAAAGACGCATCGACAAAACGAACAAAACCGACAAGACGGATGACTTCCCACCTCTTCCAAAAGCAAAATCAAAATTCAAGTGGACACTCTCCTCAAAACCTGCTTCATTAAACGTATCAACTTCTTCTGCAACTTGTCGTATGACGGTCGATGCAGCGACCACATCTTCTCAATCTTTGGCCACTGCATCGACTGACGATGCATTATCTCAACAATCTCACGTTGCTGGTGAGTTGATCAGCACAGCACCCCGCCAGGGGCGAATTACGCCCATTGTTTTGCGTGATGCGACCAAGTGGCGACATCTAAACTACACCTTTATAAGCTTAGGCATTAAGATAAAACGCGCAGTTGCCGTTGATGCGGGAATCAGGATTTTGCCGAAAACTGAGGATGACTACCGAAGAACGAAATATTAACGCGGTAGTCAGAGGCATACCCGCAATGTTTTCGGAACAGGAGATCAAAGGGGAATTCAGAGGGGATATATTCCTCTCCACATTATCCGACTCAAACGCAGTGGCGGCGCACCAATGCCTTTGGTGGTCATGATACTGTCCAAGATTGAAAAGTCCCAGCAGCTGTTCAATGAACATGAGCTGCTGGGTCTAGCAATCAGAGTTGAAGCTCAAAAGAACTCTAGACTTATTGGGCAGTGTCACCGCTGCCAAAGCTATGGTCATGCGCAGTCTTACTGCACAGCACCTCCCAAATGTTTAAAATGTGCTTCCGACCACATGACATATTTATGCCCCCTTACAGGACAAGAGGAGCGAAAGTGCGAACTGTGGAGGGGCGCATCCCGCTAACAGTCCCACTTGCAGATTCATCCCAAGGCGAAATCAGGAAGTCATACGCGGAAGCAGCCGTCTCAACATCTTCGGCTGCCTCCTCTGTTCAACCCACTTTGAACACGCAGGTTGTGGACCTAGCAACTGCGCTTAGGTCCCTTCAACAAATAATAACTCCCCTGATTAGCGCCACTCAGGCATTGCAGGCGATCTTTCCGCAGCCAATGAATAGCTAAGTACAATAGATAACCTGCATTTATCAAAATTCTTTTTTGGAACAACAGGCGCAGCGGCGTTACAATCAAGCGGAATCGCACAGCAACCCTCTGTTGCGTGATTCAGTAGACTACACAGTCGAGCAAACTTTCCAGGCCGCGGCTCGCACTGTGATCAAAATTAAATTGTAAATTTAGACTTGCCAAAATTATTTCAGTATACAAAACCGATCAAAATCTTTTTTTGGAGTTACAAAATAATTCGAGTAGTCAAAGCAATAATGCTTAAGTTACTTCAAATGATTTACTTCTTTACCTTGCTCTATTTATTTCTTCCTTTCTTTCCTTCTTTCCCTTTTCCCTTTAAACATGTTTGGTATCTGGGTAGCCAGACCTGACAGACTAACAGACCGACGAGACTTTTAACTAAGAGCAAAGGTCCACCAGACCGCTCTGACGAATAATGACGAATAGTAGGTTTGGATGACGCTCAGACTTTTTGGAATTTCAGCGTCTACGTGCTGCAATCAAGATTCAGGTAAAGACAGCTTATAATAATTATATTGATGATGCCAAAGTAGTTTGGCTCTTGATCTTAAAAAGTTTTGGTCACACACTTACATACATACAACAAGCATTCCTGGCACTAGGAAATATCAAATAAATAAAATAAAATAAATCACTTTCTCAGCCTCAAAGTATAGTTGATGCTTTTGTTAATTTCTTCAGAAATCTGCCTTCACTGGTGATACTGATAAACATTTAAATATCATGTAAACATTGAAAAAGTACAAAGGAAGTTTTTTAAAATTTTATATTTTAAATCTGAAGGGATCTACCCACAGGAAGGTATCATTAACTTGGAATTATGTGAGCGTTTTGTTGTCAAAGCATTAGACTTGGGAAGGAATATATCAGCTGCAATATGTCTTTTTAAATCATTAAACGACGATATTGATTGTCCTGAAATTTTGTCTCAAATACATTTTAATGTACCTGCGCTTACATTGCGTAACTATGTCACGTTCAAACCTGCGCGAGCCAGAACCAATCTTTTAGTTAAATCTCCAATCCACATTATGTGCAAATTCCTAAACACCAATAGCTGTCATTGTGACATGTTTCTATGTTCTCTTAGGCCCGTATCGTCAGTCCTCCCTACAATTGTAGGGCGCCTTTATGGCCTCCTTGATTGTTATAGTTTTCTACTTCTCCGTGTCAGCGCTCTATTTTGAGGTTATGTCATAAACACCTATTTGCATCAAATTGTTCTTGCTTTTGAGTTATATCATGTTTTGTCAGCCTGAAACTTCCTACAATTTAAAAAGAAAACATATCTTCACAATAGGAGAGCGCTGACGCTGACACGGGACAAGTGTAATCTAGAAATTTTTGAAGAAAGGCGCGTTTATGGCCTCCTTGATTGTCATAGTTTTCTACTTCTCCGTGTCAGAGCTCTATTTTGAGGTTATGTCACAAACATCTATTTGCATCAAATTGTGCTTGCTTTTGAGTTATATCATGTTTTATTAGCCTGAAATTTCCTACAATTTAAAAGGAAAACATATCTTAACAATAGGAGAGAGGAGAGAAATTTTTGAAGGAGAGAAAAGAGTATGACAATCAAGGAGGCCATAAACGCACCCTACAATTGTAGGGACGACTGACGATACGGGCCTTAGAGAACTAATTGAGATGGCGTATATGTATGTACGCTAGTCCTTTTGTTTTTGGTCTTTTTGTTTTTTACCACTGTGCTTGATTTCTTTTATTTATTTTCATTTAATTGTCCTATAAATGGTTTTATTGTTGGACAACAAAGCTATTATTATCATTATCATTATTATTATTATTATTATTATTATTATTATTATTATTATTATTATTATTATTATTATTATTATTATTATTATTATTATTATTATTATTATTATTATTATTATTATTATTATTATTATCAAGTTAGTGACTCATCCATATGGAGGGGATGTAAACGGAAAGATAGATGATTCAAGCGCTTCGTGAAGGGCTGCCAAACCAATACGAGTATTCATTCCATCTATTTTTTTTTTTGATTTTAGGTGATTGATTACCATTCTTCCAATACTGGCAGAATGACTGTAATCCTGAAGTTTCTTCAACGTTCTGTACATTGGCATCTCTAATAATATTTTTAACACCTAACAAAGTCGCTAGCTACTATGTTAAGCCTTACCCATTTTATTTTAACTCATAACTGGAGAGGCACATCGCTTTTTATGTCCAACAATTTTATTACATTCTTACGTTACTGTCTGACGAATAGCTGGAATACAGACAAGTTTCGCATATATACATATAAAAGTTTTGCTTATTGTTTTTGGTGGTAGCCGTTTCTATAAAGTATCCCAGCTTTATTCGGACAAGGGATCGCCACTTCAAGGCAGAAAACCGACATCAATAATAGAATAAAAGAGACTACATTCCTTGAGGATGCTTTTATCAGGAGGACCATTCTAATCCAGGACCCAGAGGTATTAATCGTGACAAGATTATGGGAACCTCTTCATTGGATGTTTGCCTTGCAAGACTGGTCTTAGGCATAGCTAATTGATATTTTAGAGTTAATAATCGGCAAAGAATGAATGAGCCAAAGACCGGCAATCATATAGAGCGTGCCTCAATATTCTGGGGACATAGAAGCACCACGTATGTTTTGACTCAAAATAAGTCGATTTGCTATGATTTACCTCCATGCAAAAGTTCCTCATTCGTCCGTTAGAGGGAGCCAAAAATTTCTTTTTAAAACACGTACATCTTTTCAGATATCTTTTAAGCCTGTATTCCGATGTGAATGAAATTTGGACTACCCCCGCTCTTACATAGACTATACCAGAATTTTTTTACAACACTCCCAACGACTCTGAATTTATCCATTTTAAAAGATCCTTTTTTACTTCATTTGTTTGACTCTTATTGTTACAGGCCATTTCGCATATTTTTCGAGAAATAATTTGTTTTTCAGTACATCCAGTTTCAATAGATGGCCGAGTCCAGCCAAGCACTTTGTCACTAGGGTATCGAGATTGTGGAGCAATCTACCTGAGGAGGATTTTCCCACCTCTACTGACTTGACTTTAGGTCGGATTAACAAAGTTTCTGTAGGCCACGCATAGCAGCCGCGGTCTCAAGGTATTTAGGCTTTTGCCAACGCGGCTGCTTTGGTATAAAAAAAGCATTGATTACCGCATTTCACCTGGTGGGGTCCTTTAACCAACGGTTTCAGTTGTTCATAAATTTGCTGGCCAAAATTATGTGCATTTTCATTCCCACAATACATTGTATTTCTATTTCTATTTGACGTGATCTTAGATTTTCCGAAACCTTGAGCCTTCGCCATTTTAACCTTGTGTATTTTTTGACCGAATGTAGCCGAAGTCATAGTGCATCTCGAAACTTTATGATAACCCTAGTTATGCGACACACGGTGGATCTGTATTCTGTATGAATAAATTCCTATGCAGAATCTGACTGCACACGAAGCCAACTTCAAAAAACTATGGATTTGTCAAGTTTTATTCGTCTTGTGCCTTGAAGGTTGGGAGTCGCTCAATTTCCTCGCAACGCTGCTCTGCTCCCTCCAAGGCGAACTCGTAAGCTGACTACAAATAATAAACAAGGACCGCAAGCTGAACCCCGGTGAGATAAGTTAATATTTACGAGTTCTGTGCCAGTCGCGAAGCCATTCGATGCTCTTCGCCATATAAAGCAAACAAAACTTCTCACTAATACACCTTTATCACGCGGTTTATATGCTTGCTATACTGATATAGTCATGTTGCCGTAGTCGCACTTGTCTGCACGTTAAGCTGCAACTTGCCAGCTGCACGCCTTAGCCTTTGTTCTCTCCAAAAACAGATCGATTCCAGAAATTCTTGATAATCTAATAAAAGACTACTTTTTGCTGATTCAGTAATGGCTGCAGCGATAGAAACCTTTCAAAGAACTATTTAGTTGGTACAAAAAGTGCGATAAGCAAGTTAATCGGACACAAGGTGTTACTTTTCGTAGATGTTCATTGTACATTATATTTGTTATGTATTGGGAGTTTTAGATAAATAAGAATACCAAATGTGTTGATTGATTGATCTGATAAATAGTCCATCGCGCCAGAGTATTAAAAAGGGGTAATCTAAACAAAAATTAGAGGCAGAACAAAATCATCAGAAATTTTTCACAAGCACTCTAACTAACTTTGCGGGAATATCGTTGAATATTGCTCTACAATCTAGTGTAGGTACCATATGTGTGGGACAAATCCTGAATATGAATTTTGAACCAGTTACGGATTCTACAAAATGGCGATCTATCATTTCCATATGCATCCCTATGATATGATAACAAATGAACAGACTTAATGGCGATTTATAATTTATGATTTCTATGATATGGGTATCAACCAGATGGCTTAAAAGATAAACACAATGTTGTACCAACTTGACGTTATACAGGAACGATTTGTGCAATTCAACTCCGCAAGGTCAGCAGGTAGACTCTGTTTATTTGGATTTTTCTAAAGCGTTCGACTGGGACCTTACCAACTGTCCCTACGGATGATGTATGGTGAACAATGGATAAGTCGAAAAATAAATTGACTACGGGTCCAGAATGTTTTCCATCTTTTCTCACTAAAGACTATACTCAAGTTCTTGCGGTTCCTTCAACAATTATCATCAACCTAGCACTTGTCTTTTTCAGGGTGTTTTTTCAAGGGTAGATCTACTATCACCAATTTGGATACTTTCACGCAAATTGTCAATGAAA